TTTTAATAAAAAATATATAAGCGTTATCTTATATATAACAAATATCGAATTTCAATAAAAATTAATCAAGCTTTCAAATTGATTGACGGAAACATTACGTGTATCATACACATTATACCTATAGGTAACATATACATACCAGCCGTCAGCATAATAAGGTAATTATGCGATACATAAATAATTATTTCCGATTTTTTTCCGGAATTACAAATTATGTTATTAAATGGTTGTGTAATATGATGATAGCAATATGGTCTGTTTGCAAATTAAATAGGTTTTATGTAACGCGACAGTTATAGCGTGCTGGAAATTAATATTCAGTTATGATTATTCATATTTTAATGTAGGTATTTATAGATTACTAGCTAGATTCTGGCGCGGTTTCACCCGCTGCGCGGCTCCATTTGGCCATTCAGGAACATTGTAGCTGTGTATCAGTGAAAGAATTTTGGGAATACGATCAGCCGTTCCAAAGATTACCCCCTACATACAAAATTACAAATTTTACCTCTTTATAATATTAGTATAGATAAGGAAATTCAGATGGTCAGTGACTTCTTGAAATTGGTGATAGGTTTTTTAGAGACAGCATAGTAGAATACTTAGCAACACCCCAACTGGTCAACAACAAACAAACCTGGAAATGGTAGTCGCTTCCAGTCGTCCGGTCTAAATGTTCTTATGGAAGATTATGTCAAGTAGTGTACGTCCACGATGGATAGATGGCGTTATTCTTAATGTTGTTAACCACTAAAGTAAAGGGACGGAATCTTAGAGCGTTTTCCCTAATTTCCTCTTTCACCACAAATATGATTGTCATTTAGGTTACTTCGGACTTTATAACGTGGACATTAGTTACCACAAAGCTGCGGTGAGGTCTGAGGCCACATTATATGTATAATTATATAATACGTACTGGTATTAATGTGATGCGAATTGAATATGAGATATTAGTCACTATCAGTGGCGTAGCTATCATAGGGCCAGGTGGTGCCGTGCACCAGGGCCCTCGAGCTCAGGGGGCCCTCTAGCCTCGGCTTTGAAAAAAATGAAAAATTTTTAAAAATCAAAAAAATGAAAAAAAAAAGTTTTTTTTTTATTTAAATCAACACCACCAATGATTAAACTCCTTGTTTAACATTTTTAAACATGCGCCAAGCATCCTCGATAAGCATGTGCTGTTTGTTTGTTATCGTTATTTCAGTTATATGGTAGTTTGGATGAGTCCGCCCGTAGCACATTGGATCAGCTCACGTGCTTGACGGTCGTGCGATCAATTCACAAATTCCGCCCATCAATTTTTTAATGAAGTTTTCATTCGCTCTTGCCTTGCATCAGTTCTTATTTGTGATATTTCCGGCGATTTTCTGAGGTCTGGGACGTACTACAGTAGTTGATGCTAGGTGTGTCGCTGACTGTTACTGTTGTACTTCGTAATTCCCTACTACCAGCCTTATTTCATCAAGTATCACCACTAATGTTATGATTTCTATTCCGTACATCCATCCATCCGGCACCAAATTCTGGTAAAACTCATTTTCGCAAAAAAAAAAATCCGATGACAAGATATGTACGATACAGGTTGCAGCACAACGCTGACCGTATAATGTATGATAGCTCTCAACCTGATCGGCAGTAAAAAATAACCAACGTTTTCCTAAACTCAAGTCCAAATTGACAAACAAGCTACTATAGAAACGATAAATTATCTTCTTATGAATTAACATTGCATTATTTTACCACATTATTACCAAACAAGCTCTTTTATGGTTCTTTTCTGTTGAGCTTGCTGTAATCTATACTAAACATTAACAAGCAATATAGGAAAATCTCAGTGAGTACTCCGGATTTCTATAAATTCGATATTTACCAATTAAAAATTATGGAACGAAAAAATGAACGTAGCGGTGCCGCAAAGCGGAGACAACGACAAGAAAGAAAAGAAAGTAAAAATAAATTGCCCAAGCTAGATAGCTTTTTTACGAAACCGCTTTCTGCTACGGTTCCTTCAACAGCCGAAACATCGTTCAAAAGTGCCGAAGTCATCGTTCAAAAAACTACCATCAATGCCCCTGCTGAAAATGACTACCTCGACGCTTCCGTGCAACTTACGGTAGAGGAATCATCATTTGTTTCGAGTAATTTTGAAGATGTAGAAACATCTTCAAAAGTTCTCGAAACAAATGACTTGGGAAATTACATCAAAAAGAAACTGAGTGATACCGAAAAACGTTTGATTCTTGACAAGGGACCTTTGAAACCTCCGGGACCTTTTCCGAAGGACCCCCACCAAGACAACAGGAGCTTTTCAGAAACGTATTACGTGTCTACGTCACAATACGGTCCAGTTGATCGTTTTTGTATCAATAAGTTCAAACTGCGCGGAAAGAGGGGAGGAGAGCCCGATTCTCTCTCTACGCACCAGGGCCGTTGCCCCCTTAGCTACGCCACTGGTCACTATGCTACACGTAGTTCTTTTTAAAAGATTTACCATTGTGAACAGTTCCCCTTTTTCATCAACAGATGAATATTGTGGAATGTTTTTATCAAATTTTACAATTTTTGCTATCAAAAATTAATTGACATGCTAAATGTTTTCATTCCGAATTAAGAAATGAAACCAGTACGTTTTCGTTAACATACCTAGTTTAGCACGTATACTCAATATGTCCTTTATTAATAGTAATTTCATCTAAAGGGCAAAAATGTGCAATTACGAAGTGACTTCTATTTTTGCCAGGAAGATAAACTTTCTATTGACACCCTGAAATAGTAGGTTGTAAACAAAGGAATCTCTGAATAGTAGTAAACTATTCAGAGATTCCTTTGTTTACAACCAGTCAGCTATAAATTAAATCAATTAATTTGAAATAAACGGGTTTGCAATTCAGCTACAATACAAACTTCATTCATTTGTTTTTGGAAATAACCAGTTATATTGGTAATGTCGATTCCATATTTACTTTTTTAAATTAAAAAAACAAAATCAGTACGTATTTTATGTAAGAGAAAAAGATCGATGAATTTTTTATGAGTAGAATAACTGTATATCGGTATAAAATAGATGTAGACTTGGTACAAACTGAACATCACTGAATGTCAATAGTAACGTAAGTGATGGAACCACGGGTTTAGAATTTTAGCTTCCTTGAAAATTGTGTCACAGACTGTTTCGAACTATTAAATGCTTTTTTCTATACTTTTTTTGAAATGCTAAAATCATAAATTAGGTATCAACGAACTACGTACGAAAAAGAACGCTGTGACGTCATATTTTTTAAATAAAAAAAGGAAGCTTATTTCTCTTGAATTATTTAAAAAACTGTAGTCTTATAATGTCATGAATTTGTGATTATTATAATTTATTTTTATGGTGTATTAACTTTACTTTTGACTGAGGAAACTACACATTTATAAAATTGAATGATTCTAACAGCCTTTATGTTTTGAAATAAGCTTGATTCTATTTGTATCCTTAAAAATTACATTTAGGTATTGTTTAGTAATTACTATTCGTTTTATAAAATTACCTTTTGAGTAAAATCCTTAAGTTAATTTACTCAGGGCCTATTTTACAATGCCTGGATAGCCGTTGTGTTACTGTGTAAATGTGAACACAATTTGTATAAACTGTGCTAGGCAAAGTTATCGGTTAGGTACTGGTGATGGTGGATGGTGATCAAACAGTCCATACATTTTTATAACCTAGCTAAGAAACAATGCCAAGAACAGAATAAAGTCACGAGTTTAAAACCGTTAGATTCACTTAAATTAAATTACAGTTATCTAAAGTTGGCAGGAGTCAGATCGTAGAACTAGGAAACGTATTGTTATTTAGTGTCGCAATCCTGACCGAAGTGGACGCCAGTCAAATACTTTCTCCGAACAAATATCAGCTCCAATCGATTACTTTTATCTCGAGTTGCATCGAGAACTGTGCTTGTTAGCGATTTGTTTACATAACCAGTGAGATACCTAAGTAATTATTTATACATTACATGAGATACATTTACAATGCGGACACTAGCAGTTGTAATAAACATCAGAGCAATGCATCTTCAGAAATGAAGGAGGAAAGTAGGTATTCATTTATTCGGTTCACGAGTCTATGTCAATTAGTCGACAATATTACTATCTAGTGCGGACGTGAATAAATTCGCTCCGTAGTCACCGGTTGCCGTGTAACCGTTACATAATTTTATAGTTACAACTTCCACATAATGCGAACCTGTCGTTAATTAATCAGCGAGGTAACCATCGAGAACCTGAGGTCGTGGAAAGTCGCAGGCGCGACGGGTCGCGCGCTCCTCGAGAAAATCGCCGTTGCATAAGCGACAGATCATAAGGAACGATAACTTACATACACACACTAGTCATTATTGTAACAACACAACCATCATGATAAAACAAAATATTCTTAGAAATTTCAAAATTATAATTTATTTTTAAAACAGTTATTTGATAAATGGAAAGTTGATGCGCATAACGGAGAAATTCCAATAAATCTTAAGTGAGGTACATATGTACGTATGTATGTGCATCAATTTGTATGCGGATGTGTGCATTATGTGAAGAGATCATCTGGCGTCATTGCCTCGTAACAGATGTAAAATTTCACAAGATGGTCTCAATGTTGGAATACTAAGAAATAAAGATAATATTATGTTACCTAATTGCAGAGCTCGTATAGAGAGTGAACGATGAGTCAAGCACGCAACACGTTAATGGGATGTTGTACGGACACTGCTAGCACACATGCTATTGACAGCATCTTCATTATTCTGTCGCGATTTAGAACACTACCTAATAAAGCGTTGTCTAAGTACATGTGATGTAAATGTACTATTTGGTAGTGTTTAGAATTCAACTTGTTTTCCTTGTTTACAAAGATGTGTTTGAAATAAGGCACAAATTTAAAATTTGTAACTATAATTCATATTAAAATAACAAACGTGTCCAAATTTGAGTCAATATTAATCGATTCTTTATATCAATTCCAGATGCTGTTTTGTGTGGTGCTGACAACAACATGCGCCGAACCAGACCCAAAGAAATACAAATCAGAAGTGAAAGATAAAGATAAATCATCAAACACAACCCTAACAGCAGAAGAAAAGAAATTCTTAAGAGATGTTGAAGCGAAGTATGGAATTAAGACACGAGACGAGAAGAGTGACACCCCTAAAGAAGAAAAGAAAAATGTTAGTGAACCTAAACCAAAAGGTCCTACACATTTCCCAGCGGTTATAGCTATTGAGATAGTAAACGATACAGACACTAAAAGCAAAGGAAAGCGTACCATTGACGCTAACCTTGGATATGGATACAAAACTAATAACGGTTACACATACTCTTACTTCGGAAAACCGGCTCAAGAAAAAGGAAAATTCATGATATATCCTTATTCGCAAGAAGATATTCCTCCAAACAACGTCCATTCCACATCTATAAACCATTACGACCACTCAGGGAAAATTAAAACTAGTGTTGAAATACAACCATCCCAAGCGTTTGAGTTAGTGCAAGTGAAAGATGACAAACCAGCTTATCATTACGAGAAACCAGCGATTGAGTTCACTACTCCAGCGCCAAAGCCTGTCTCATATTCATCATCGGAACAAAACAGTAATTCTTATTCTTCGCACCCTTCAACTCTGTATACTACCTACAATGGCGAACAATTCAGTGGGCTATCAGGGCAGTTCCCTACAGTGATGCCTGACTATCTTGTCGATCCTTCACAACTGATCAAAAACCCAGAGTTCCAAAGCGTTGGTTTGACCCAAGATCATTTACATACTCCAGGCTCTCATTTAGAACAAAAAGTTGTCCCAGTCTTAGTATTGAGAATTCCAAGTTCATCACTAACAAACCCTACTGCAGAGCTGTATGCTAACCTACCACAGAACTATCCTTTGTCCAACTACTTGAACCACTTGAATTTACAAGAGCTAGTAAACCAGTATTTCAAGAAAGCTGGATATAGTTTCGCTCCTCAGGTTATGGCGTACTCTAGTCATGGTCTTGAGAGCCAAGGGGCTGAGAGTTACAGTCAAGAGGGTCATGGTGGTGAAGCTCCTGCATCTCAATACGAGCCTCAACAATACGCTCATCCATATGTCCAGCCAACATACACACAAGCTCATTTGTCTGATGGAGTGCAATACTCCGCGGTTCAACCTGTAATGGCTAGATATCCATCTAGCTACGTACGTCAACACTATATGACAATGCCTAAAGGTTATTCCATATACAAACAACCTTCTCTGCCTCAGAATTATGAGTATCAGTACCAGTACGTGCCACAATCAGCTGTGTCATCGCAGACGTATTACATGCCTTCATCGCATTACCAACAAGAAACGGAACACGTTTCATTACAAGGTATTCAAAGTTCTTCTTTAGACCAAGGGCATGGTGTTCATGATAGTAATGCTCAGGTACAATACGCTTCAGTCAGCCCCGGGTATGAAGCAGCTGTTACCCCTAGTGCTGAATACGGTACGCCTGGTGTTCAGTATGGAAGTCCACCAGCGCATGCGGAAGCAGAGTACGAACATTCAGCCACAGTAGCTCCTGAATATGGACCACCCCAGGAACAGTATTCACAATCAATTTCCCCAGGTTATGAATCTTCAGTAACTCCCACACCAGAATATGGTCCTGCAAAGGAATCAGGTGTATCTCAAGTTTCCCAGTACTACACTCAAACTCAGCATGATCAACCAGATAATACAGTATTTTCACCCCAATCTGGACAGTCAAGCCATGCGTCTCAATCAGATGTTGGAAGCCAACAAAATTATGCGTACCAACAATCAGAGCAGCACTCTAATGACCATGGTCTAGTGCTCACAGAAAACTACCCGAGCAAGGACCATACAATCGCAACTGTTTTGCCTTCACATTATAAAACAGGAAAACAGAATTCTGGTATGATTCAGACAGTCAGCTATGTGACTCCTTTGCCTCATCCAAAATACCAGATGCCTTACAGAGTAATGGTGCCGAAAACCTTCCTTTATAACCCATCAACTGAGAAGGTTACATATGTGAACTCGCGCCCAATGTCCTCATCTTACAGCCAGTCCAGTCATCAAGATTACAACCCCGAAGCAGAATATACTATTGGATACCGCCACGTTCCTCCAATTGGCAAACAAAAACCGCCATCTTACCCCAGAAATTACCACTCACATCCCAAACGCATGGTGAAACCTGACCACAAGACTGATTCATCATCATTCTCAAAGAACAAAAACGAACGAAATGAGAAGAAAAGATTATCGTAAATTAAATATGGAAGATCACAGTGAATGTGATTTGTTAAGAATGATTGAGGTACTGTAAATATAGGAGCCTTATAATTCTAATGTTATAATAGGTACATCGAAGATGGCTTATAGTCTTTAAGCATAAGCATTACTTGACACACGCCAAGGAAATAAAGAAAATCATTTTCATTTTCATATCCCATAAACATCTCTAGCAAGAGAAACTGGAATAGATGGACATAAAAATCAGTCCTATATCTCCGTGCAACATTAGATTTCTCCACACAAGAATAGTTTTCATGAAGCACGATTTTACATCATTCATACCACATGTAAATACATAGAGAAACGTACAATAAGAGGCTGTAGTATATACAATATAATATTTTAAGTGTGAATGCAATATTGTAAAGCTTTGAAATTATTTATTACAAAAATTGTTGTGTATTCTTCCTATTTTGATGTGCAATAATTTGGTATAGGTATACTTAAGTGTAATAAATTAAATAGATTATAAATAAAGTTTGCTAAAGCTTGTGTTTGAATGATTCGATCCTAATGACCTGATTGGTTTAATAATCGTATAAGACTATGATAGTGTGGGAGAGCGATGCTTCGCTAAGAATGAAACAACCATAGTGTTGTGTTTCGCCTTGTGAGTAAGGTTACCGGAGACTGAATCAAAATGCACTGACTTTGTCGACTGAATTTGATATACACGAAGTAGTGAATAAAATAAAAAAAAACCTGGAAAATGCAATCGAAAACAACGGTAATAGCCTAAGCAGTGAAAAAAGAGTGGAATATGAAAAATTTAATTCAAACTGATTATTTGCTTATCGCAGGTATAAATAATGTTGTCAACAATGTAATACGGAGATTGCTATCGCATGCTTAATGGAAAAAGGCCTACTCAAAAAAGACGGTATTTGTATCTTAAAAAATATATTTCAATAATTTGGTTCAATTTTGAAATACCCTCTTTTACATAAGAGTGAGAGTTAGGTCTGTTTCCTAATTAAAATGTTATTATGGCTCACGCCATTAAAAATAAAAAAATAAACAACACATTTTAAAAACCAAAGCAACTAATAATTTAGATTGAGAGCAGGAAAGAGATAAATATTAAATTGCTATGTATGGGAGATATTATGTACTAACTCAAAAGACTACATACCAGTCATAATAGTATTAATTTTCTTGAGGGAAGTGCAACACACGATGTCATACACAAAATTACAGACATTTGTAACACAAATGAAAGACAATTAGACATTAGAGAATATTGTGTAATTCCTTTTTGTGCGATTATTAAAATAATGTTCTGCACTTTACTTAATATACGGTCGTGTTAGTAGCCATGGTTAATAGCATGGTTAACTAATGGATTGTTCCAGTTCAATCAAGTTATGTGCAAAATGTGATGAGAAGTTTTGTCTACTTAAAGTTGACATTGTAGCTCTGTAAGTTTTTTTTTATGTAAACGATCGGCAAACGAGCAGACGGATTACCTGATGGTAAGCAATCAGCGCCGCGGACACTCGCAACGGAGTAGTTACGAGTGCGTTGCCGACCTTTTAGGGATTCGGGATTTGGAGATTTAGGGATTGAGGAGGGATTGGGGGAGGGGAAGGATTGGGCCTCCGCTCGAAAAATATGTTTTTTTTTTTTTGAGGGGAACCGCAATACAATTACTTTTCTCACCAGGGTGTGATGTATCATTGGTTAATGCTATTAATTGTCGCGATAATGAACGTTAATCGTTGGTATAATTTGATCTCTAAACAAATGATTTAAGGTATAATTTTCATTGTTTAATATCATCAACTATCGCGATAATTATTGGCATTTCCCGTCAGTGTGGGACCAGCATTACTGACAAAAAAACAGTTCTTTCTCCTGCTGTAGGTCGAGTGTGCGATACCTTATTGCGCTTTCCCCGCAACGCCAGCTGAACATTGATCCTGTTGGGCCCGATCTGTGGTGATTTGTTGACTCTTTGAGGCGTTGTGGTACACCTCCTGGTCCCAAACTTGTTGAGTGCAGACTCAACCATTTCCGATGTTGTCGTATTGAAGTTCTATCAGATCATGAGTGGAAACAGAAAGTGCATCTGCGTAGTTTACTGGCGTTAGAGGTTACTTAAGACTGATATCGGTTAGCAGAATACTAAGTATCATCAATGTTTTTTAAACCATTTTAAATGTTGCGTGCGCTACTTCAAGAAGGTAATAAAAAAAGTAGGTATCATTAAGTGGTTTATCATGATTGTAATGCCATTAACTAGTACCTGTCACTGATTAATGCTTGCAGTTAAAAACCGAGTAATCTTAATGAAGAATTCCACAGATAAGAAAGATTTATTTTCGTTGTTGTCTCACTTAGAAATCCTCGAAGGATTAGGCTGAGAAAAAATAACTAACAAAAGCGTTAAATGTTACATTTAAAGTAATTTTAGACAGATGCTATATATAAGAAAATAAGGTTAGTTAACCTACACTGGATAAATAACTAAAGTTGGATATCTGATAGAAATCCAAACTATAATATTATATTATAAATGCAAAAGTAAATCTGTCCGTCTGTCTTTTCTTCACGCCTAAACTACTGAACCTTTTTGTGTGAAATTTAGTACAGACATAGTTTAGATCTCGAGAAAGGACATAGGATAGGTAGTTTTTTTTACCAAAAATCTGCAGTAAGTCACTATTCCACGCGAACAAAGTCCCGGGCAAAAGCTTGTACTTTTATAAGCCCTTGATTTGTAGTCGTGCTTGTAATTTTTACGGGATAAGGGTGAAAATAATAGACGAATCAGCGCCACTTACCCACGCTCGCTGTGCCAGGAATTTCATGCGTTTCGGCATTTCTTTTCAGAGCAGTCAGTTAGGTAATGCCGGCTTCATCTAGTTTTTTTTAGATATAATTTTGACGTGTGCCGTTTTTATGGCCTATATACTTAAATTTATTGTTTCATTGTTTTAGTTACTTATTTTTTCGAGAAGAGAGAAGAGATTGCTGATTGGCTGTCAATAACCTGATTCCCCCATCGAGCGCTACACAAACGTTTGTTTGGCTTGTTTTGTATTTACGAGATAATTTCCATCATATTTCACGAACAATTAAGTGCTCGTATGAGATCGTGTGTGATCTTAAATATTTAACATTCTTTTATGTTGTTCAATTAAACTATGTATATGCGTTGCCATTTGCTTTGACACGAACATGTACTCTTCGACTAGTATACTTGGCATCAGTAGATAAAACAGAAGTTTTTTCAGACGCCACGTAAGGTACTTATGGGACGCCGTGGTTGCAAGTTAATCTAAATGAGTCACCGCGGCCTCGGCCCGGAGCACGAAAAGGACCGGGGGCTTTTAGTCAGTAAGAGCCTGACACTCTCTCTCGCCTTACCCTGGACGGGAGAAAGAGAGATGATTTATCCCTGACAAAAAAAGGTACTTGTGGGATTTACATGAATGGGCCGGCTCTACTGAAATTATACCATGACTGTCTGTCACCGAGTCAGTGAGATTGCCAGAAATCGATGTCGGTTCTATTAATCTTCAAACCCTAATCCCATAATTCCAAAACAACATAGTCTGATGTTGTGTGTGGTCAGGGGCGACTCCGATACCTTATCATCTAGCTATGCGTCGGTCCTCTGCAGCTTTATCCGTTCAAAGATGCTTAAGAAGTCTGAAGGTCCACTGCTGGAAATTTACCTCCTCTTCATGAGAGTGCTTATAACCTCCACGCTTGAGTAGCTGGTTGAAGGTTAGTTAAAGGTTTATAACAGAACGTCTCTGGTCTCATAAAATGTAGTCTCTTAGTAGAAACTCTTTTCTTGAGAAAATATAATTCTCTGAATTACTCACTCTATAGATTTAGTTGGAAAACACTGAATGTCAGTTAGATAATAAAGAGGAAAAAAATAATAATACAAATAAATACTGACAAAAATGCACCAATAACCAACTTGTTTAGGGAAAGCTAAGCTAAGCTTAAACCATACTGTTAATAATGTTTACTTGCCTTCCTGATACGTGTAATGGTATGCTTGGAAGGATTAATGTGTTCGTCGCAGTAGAATTGTAAAGACTTAGGCTCATACATAAGCATGTAAGAAATCAATGCTATTAAAACAAGTAGTTATAACCAGGAAGCAGGAATAAATATAAAACTTTATGTGACGACTTGTTATAAACGAAATGCGACTTGATAGTTAAAATTTTCACTTGTATTAGGAAATAATTTACTGAAATAATTTAAAGAGAAAAAGTCTTTGATAATTCCAACAACCAGGACATAAAGCATCAACCGGATACTTTCTTGTTCGAAAACTAGATTTCTATAATTGGATAAAGAAGCTTGATCAGGAAATATTACTAATTGGTCGTTGCAACAGGCAGGTGCGTTGAAAAACTGGTCAATCCTGTAACACTCTTATCTGCTGGGGTTGGGTGACTGGGTGTGCGAATTTCACTCTCGTTTCCCTTCCCATTTCCGCGTTTTCCGGTGTCAAGTACCTGTTATGAGGAATCAGGAAAATGATAGGACGTCGAACTATCATTAGATCGAGCACGCCCGTTGTAAAAGCGAGCGGACGGAACCTTAACTGTGTACCTTTTATTAACAACTTTTGCTTATTTCTATATGCTAATTAGCTCATGTTTTGATAACAATATTCTACTCTGAAGTCAGTGCGAAAGTGTATGGAATAGTGTTGCCAAATAACTTGTTTCAGAGACTCCGTATCTTGACCACCTATCTTATGTCTACGCTTACTCAAAACCATAAAATAACTATTAGAATTAACCCCGAAATATAAAAATCTCTTACACACTTGGAAATTTTAGTTTAAGTTCAGAAAATTTTAACATGCGCGCGAGCCTGGCATTTTGCGAAAACCAAATTTGATTGTCTTTATATTTTATATTGATTTAATTATTATTTTTTGTATATTGTATTCTCTTTTATAAGTATGTGTTAATAATGTAATTGACTTTAATAGTCGTATATATAACATAATAAATTGTAGATTCATCATCATCTAAAACTGCGAGCATAACACATTGACCA